AGTATGTTTTATTGCTGCAAGATTTCTTGCCCTGTAAGCCGCCCTGAGCCCTACGGGGGAGGGCGGGGTATAAATCTGATAAATAAATAAATAAATAAATAAATAAAGTTTAGCAAAAAAGTTTGGTACTTAGCAGACCGAGGCAGAAGGCGTCCTACCAGCGCGGCGGTCAGAAGAGAACTGGCGGGATCTGCGTGCCCCTCCTTGGTCATGCGCAGTGGAGTCGGCGCGTGACCTGGGAGAGGCGCGAAAATCCCTTTTTGCTAGCTATCGGTACCGAGAAGGTTCAGCGCAGGCGCAGTGTATCCCAAGGGTGTGAATGCACAGATGACCACTCGAAGATCACCAGTTACAGGTAAGCAACCTGTCTTTTTCACAGGATTAATACAGTATTTGCAAGTTATTCTGATTGTATTCATGGTTATGTCAATGTATTTACTGTTACTGTTAACAAAAAATGATAATAATAATAAAAACTTTAAACCTAAAAAAAAAAAAGGAAAAGACCTTGACCTGAGATCCTGGAAGAGCAAACCACCAGTCAGAGGAGACACGACTGAGCTCGACAGCTCAAGGGTCTGAAATTGGGGAGCATGCAACACTGCCAAAAGATGAAGTCAGTGACTAACCTAGTTTGTTCAGAGGTGGGAAAGGCCCGTGACGGAAGGCCCAAAGCTCAGTCTTTAGCATTTCTGGAAAGACTTTTCTCTGCCTGAGACTACGCAGACCATCTGCCAATGCAGAGCTCGAAGGATCATTGCTATGACTTGGAATAAGTTTTCGGGGGTTTCTGTCATACATGAACATCCAGTTCCCCACCTATCCCTCCATGACTAGCTCAAAACTTTCTGGCTGTGGGACACTAGGCATGGTGGAACTTTGCCTATTTGAGGCAGCAGCTTTTTGAGTATGGGGTGGGGGACAAGGACAAGAGAAAGTTTTGCCCTCCCTGCTCAGCTTGTGGGCCTTCCAAGGGCTGGCTGCCGTGGGGTGCAGGATGCTGGCCTAGATGGACTTTTGGTCTCGATCCAGAGGGGCTGCTGTTAGATTTTTCAAGGGCTATATGTAATCTGTGTGCCGAAATAGCAGTGACTTCAGTAGAAATAAAGCGAATCTGCATCTGTTTGCAGAATTCATTCTGACGTGGTGCGGGGGCAGTGGGAAACCCCCCCCCATTTCCCCAGCTTATCGTCATAAAGGCTAGAAGGTGATAGAAAGGTCTGTACTGCTTTTCAGTGAAGAATCACATTTTTTTTTATTTTACCTAGTCAGGAAGCTCCCTGGAAGCAGAAAACTAGTATGAGAAGGTGGTTATGTTGTGCTAGTGTGCTTCCTGCGGGGAATTCTTTTTACAAGAAGCCTGGGGGAGCCTTCCAAAAGTGGAGTATTTCTTCTCCACTTGCAGCGGTATCATCTACAGTCCCTATTTTATCACCTTGGCCAGTAGCAGCTAGAAACTTGATACTGTATAGAGCATTTTGTTTATTTCTGCCCTTAGCGATCTAGAATGTGTGTGGTGTTTACAGTCCCACCATTTTGAATGACCCAGGGCTATTTTTGGGCAGGAACGCACAGAAACTGAGTTCCAGCTGGCTCCCGTGTTGGCCACGCCCAGCAGGAACTCATTAGCATAATAAGCCACACCCAACAGCAGGAACTCATTAGCATATTGGGCCACACCCCTGACAGCACAGCTCATTAGCACATTAGGCTGCACCCCCATGTTACCAGAAGTGTGGTCATCCAGCCACACCCACCTTTTGCTTCTTATTCTGTTTACCTTGTTTGTTGTCAAAACCCAGGGCCTTTTTTTGTAGCAGGAACTCCTTTGCATGTTAGGCCACACACCCCTAATGTAGCCAATCCTAATGAGTTTCTGCTGTTGGGTGTGGCCTATTATGCTAATGAGTTCATGCTGGGCTTTTTCTACAAAAAGAGCCCTGGAATGACCTATATCTCCATTCTCATTATTTCTGCAGCTGGCTGGCTAGGGGAGAACAAGGAAGGGGAGCCTTCGTTGGGAAGCTCAGACCGTGTGCAGCTGAACCGGATGATGTGGGGGGGAGACGAAGTCAGCTTCCCCAGAGGCGAAGGACAGGCCGTTGCCTCTGAGGGCGGCCTGTTGGAGAACAGAGCGCCGATCTCGATCCCTTTCGGAGGAGGCTTCTTCGATTTCAGCGAGTTCGCAGTCCAGCAAAGTTTTCTCCAGAAGAAGACCCAGGAGATCTCAAAGAACTTTGGGGCGAGTCTGAGCCAGAGCTCCCAGCTTGGGGCGCCAGAGAAAGGCCCGACGGTTGAAAAACCGTATCAGTGTAATGAATGCGGGAAGTGCTTTGGGAAGCGGTCGACCCTAAACACACACGTGAGGACCCACACGGGAGAGAAACCGTACAAGTGTTCGCATTGCGATAAGCGGTTCTGCCAGAACTCCCACCTTCAGCTGCATGAGAGGACCCATACCGGCGAGAAGCCCTACAAGTGTCTGTTGTGCGAGAAGAGCTACAACCAGCGCTCGAGCCTCATTATCCACGAGCGCAGCCACACTGGCGAGAAGCCATACACTTGCATGGAGTGCGGGAAGAGCTTCAGCCAGAAGGCCACCCTTGTCCTGCACGAGAAGAGCCATCGGGGAGAGAAACCCTACAAATGCCTCGAGTGCGGGAAAGGGTTCAGTCTGAGCGCTGACCTCATAAGACATCAGAGCATTCACACGGGAGAGAAGCCGTACACTTGCTCCGAGTGTGGGAAAAGCTTCAGTCAGAATTCCCACCTCATGGCTCATATCCGGACCCACACAGGCGAGAAGCCGCATAAATGTCTAGAGTGCGGGAAAGGTTTCAATTGGAGCTCAGAGCTGATCGCCCACGAGCGGATTCACACGGGCGAGAAGCCATACCAGTGCATGTACTGCGAGAAGAGCTTCAGCGTCCGCTCAAGTCTTAGCAAGCATGAGCGAACCCACACGGGGGAAAAACCATATATTTGCCTCCAGTGCGGGAAGGGCTTCATCCAACGATCTAGCCTGGTAGCACATGAGAGGTCCCACACGGGTGAGAGACCCTACATGTGTCTGGATTGCGGGAAGTGTTTCCGGGAGAGCTCCCAGCTCATTGCTCACGAGCGAACGCACACCAGTGAAAAGCCGTACGTGTGTTCGGAGTGCGGGAGCTGCTTCAAGGCTAAGGCAGCCCTGCTTCGCCATCAGCGAAGCCACCTGGGCGTCAACTCTTTTATATGCGCTGACTGTGGGAAGATATTCTCATCAAGCGCAGAGAATCCAGAGAAATGTCCCGAGTGTGTGAGTCTGAGCCTGATGTCGGACCTCTCGCAGGGGTCAGAAGAGACCTATCCGGAGGCAATGGAAGACGAGAACGACGGAATTAAAAATTGAAAAAAGCCTTCCACTCCCATCGGAGCTCATATCGCCTTGGAAATGAGATAACAGCATAAAGGAAGTGAGGCCTGGCTGACATTAGACTTCTCGACTGATAAGGAAACAGCCGCCATAACTACCTAGTCAGCAGCTGATCTTGAGGTGGGGCAGTTCCCTTCCTCTTGCCATCGTCCACTTCCTCTCTGCATTCTCCATTTCCTTCCCCCTGTTTTTGACCCCTCCGCATCTCTTTCTTCCCTCTCCTCCGTGCTGTTTTTCTCGACAGTGGAGGAGAGAAAGGGGAGGTCCTGTAGTTGCGTAGGAGCGACGCCGTGTGATTAGCACTTCCTTCATCCTTGCCAAAATGGAAGAGAGGTTTCAAGGCCTCGGGAGGGGAGGAAGGAACTTTCTTGAAAGAATGGAGGTTAGCAAAACAAAACCTGTCAGGCTGTGAGGCCCATCATATTCCCACCTCTGCCCCAAAATATTTGTTCCTGCAGTGTGGCAGAAGCAGAAGGTGGGGGCGGCATTTGAGCTGCCAAGCAGGACCTCTTGAGGGGGGGCTGACCCCTAAGTGGACTATTTATGTAACCGAAGGCTTTTAAAAAAGGAATTCTATGGAATAAGCTAGAAAGAAACTTTGGTTGCTAGGAATGGGCCTGAGGTAAACACGCAGCTGACCACAATTAACTGACCAGTGCTCCAAGGTGTCAGATAGCCAGTCAGCAGGACATTTACCGTGTGACAGAAGTTCAGTTCCATGCCACTGATCTTTTTTTCTTCTTCAGGGGGAGGCAGGTGGGGTTTAAAGTCAGCCCTGAGAGAAGGCCTGGCCTGGCCTGGCCGGAGTAGGAGGGAACCACTCCTAGAGCAAAACTGGCTCAGACGAATTACCTTCCACATTGGGAAATGAATGCTCTCTCTTCTCCTGTTAGCATTTTGCCTTGGCTTGCAGTACTTATTATTTATTTTGTAGATATTATGATCAGTCTCTCTGTCAGAATTGGGGCGGACACGTTCGGAGCATCATGCTTGGCCCCGCCGCTGCCCACAAAGTGTTCTCCTCTCCTCTTTCATCCAGCTTTGAACCTGAATTGGTGGAGCCCACAGAGAATTCGGTTTGGTCTGTTGATGCAGCAAGATGAGGTGGTGAAGTCTTGAAACGGTGGGGTGGGGGGTGGGGACTGGGTAGTTTAAGGGAAAAGAAAACAGCACTTCAGAATATAGCCCCATTTTTTGTTAAAAAAAGAAAAGCCCTCCATGCAAGTAGAAAATAGTGTAGCAGGGAATGATCTGGGTTCTCTCCTTCATACGCTACCTTTCTTCTTGAATGAAGTGTACTTTTTAAATACGTGGGTGTTCTCAAAAGAATTTGGAATTCTCCCTGTGGGGCCACTTACCATGTTGTATGGTTTTCTTATATATGCAAAAAAAAAGTGTATTTCACCCACCTACAGTTTGAAGGATAAAGTCCATTCAACCACTTCAGGGACTCTACCATCGCTGTCCATTGCATGGATAGTCTGGGCCTTAGAGCCAATTGTGCTGAACAGGGTCATAAAATTGTGAACTGTCCTTCTCCAAACTGAAGGCGGAATGGATATTTTGAACGCTCTGAGGAGAAAATAAAAGGGCCATACCAGTCACTTAAAGGTGAAAAATAAGGCCAACGCCGATGGTGCCAGTAGAAATGTATTTTATTACTCTGCTAAAAATTCCTTCATGTCTTGCCAACCGGCTTCTTCAAGGGAATCAGTTAGTCTTTCGGTGTTCCTTCAACAAAAGTACAAGATCAGTAGCTGAGTAATAAAACACTTAGTTTTGCTTTACTTGCACCATCGGCCTTGGCCTTATTTTTTATCTCTATTTTGAATGCTCCCTCATATTAAAAAAAAAAGATAGAAATTTCTCTGTGCATAGAAAATAGCACAAGGAAAGAGTTGTATGTGCCTCCCTTTCATGAAGCTGGTGGTTTATTACATTCTGGGAAGAGAAAACCCCTCCCCCTCTTAAACAGCGGGGAGATAATGGGTGCTTTCACACACACTATATAACGCACTTTCAGTGCACTTTGCAACTGGATTTTGCTGTGCGAAATGGCAAAATCCACTTGCAAACGGCCGCTTGGGTGGATTGAAACTGCATGTGTGAAAGCGCCCAATCTGAAATAAGACCTTCACCACCACCACCACCTGCAGATGGTACATATCAGAATTCTCCCACTTTGCTCTGCACACCTGGTCTGCCCACCATGGCAGAAGGAGTTATAATGCTACAAGTGTATGGTTGCAGTCCTAAGAACACATTCCTGGGGAAAACCTCATTGAGTGAAATGAGAATTATTTCCAAATGAGACCTGCTTAGTATTGCTCCGTATAGCATAATCCTGTTTTATTTATTTTTAACCAGTTAGATTCAGATTTATTCGGTCTATGACCAGCACAAATCAAAAGATTTACAAGAAAGGAAACAGAAGAATACAGAAGGTCAATCCTGCTGACACAACAGTTGGAATTTACTGAAATTTAAAATCCGTACATATTTTTTTTAAGCTCCCTCCCTACAGTTAGAAAAGTTGTAGAGTGCAGAACAAAATTGGCTAGAAGCGTTCTCCCTGACAAGCTACTTGCAGGTAGTTTGGGTTTTTAAAGAAGTGTTCTCAAAATGGCTTCCACAGCCTGTAACTATGTGTTTTGCCTCATCTGCTCAAGTTTTGGCCATCTCCTCCTGGTGCTTGTGTAGACCAGGCCTCACAGAGTGGCTGTCTGCCTCCTAAGTACCCCATTGCTGGCTGTGGCCCAGTTCTTTCCGCCTCAGGATTTAAAACCGATGAAAGGCTTGTCAGGGTGGGAATTTTTCTAAAGCGCTGAAGGGGACTGGCCTCCCAAAGAATTGTCAACGCTCTTATGGGACTGCATTTCCCAGAGTTCTTTGTGGGAGGGAGGAGACATGAAATGGCATAGTACAGTCCTCTCATAATGCCGGACCAACCTGCCTTGCGCATGGGGTGGCGTCCTTTATTTGAAATACCAGAATCTCTTGTATATGATGATGACCTTAATGGTCAAGGAGATAGACTAGAATTCATAAGTGGTCACAGATGTGAGGATACTTTTTTCCCTTCTTTAACCCTCTTCGGGGTATGTTTTTGAAGGAGCAGTCCCCTCCCTGTGAAATCTGGGGTCCTGGGCAGTCTGTGCCACAGGATCTGCGCCCCAAGTTGTAAATGAATTGCAAAAAAGTTAAAAGGGATTTGCAGTACAATCCTAAGCGGAGTTACACTCTTTTTGTTGACTTTGGTGGGGTTAGAAGGGCGTGACCCTGCTGTGGGGTGGCCCTGTTTGTGGAAAAGCGGGCAAGAGGAGCACATCCGTCTCTCCTCACAAGGAGCCTAGAGCGTCTCGACACCCTGTCCGTTGCTGCTGCGATCAGATCCTTACATTTCAGGTTCCCTTTGTCTGACGAAGGGAGAATGGGCTCCCGAAAGCTCACACCCTGAGTGCTGGTCTCTAAGGGGCAACGGGACTAAGATCTCTCTGCTCTACTGCGGACCCACATGGCTCTCCTCTGGAACGATCACATTCCAGGGTTAATTTTGCATTAGGGGCAAGATCCCTTCTGCCATAATTTGAAGGTTGGAAGGGAAAGCACCTCCAAACTGTTTTATTTTAATCATTGTCCAGTGTCCAAATTTGGCTTGCTGTAGCTTGTTCTCTCTGTCCCCTTTTTTGATTTTTTTTTTCATTTTATGATTATTGTTTTGGGTTTTTCTTCTCTACTTTTCCTTTGAATATGTTTTGTTTTGAATGCCTTTCAGGCTTTCCCTCCCATTTCTTAAGCTCAATAAAATGATCTCTAGGAACCAGACTTTCAGCATTGTCATCTCCTCAGAGAAGCTTGGGAAGATATCTGTACCTCTCCTCTTCCCTCCCAGTTCCCCAGAAATTCAACACCAAAGTCAAAAATATGGTACCATGAAAATTTGTGTTCTGTGCTTTCCTTTTGTGTTGCCCAAGTAAGCAGATGACCAGATATTTGCTACTCTTTTGCGTGACTTCGATGGCTTCAGTCAGGGGTGTGTGTGTGTGTGTGTGTGAGAGAGAGAGAGAGAGAGAGAGAGAGAGAGAGAGAGAGAGAGAGAGAGAGAGAGAGAGAGAGAGAGAGAGAGAGAGAGAGAGAGAGAGAGAGAGAGAGAGAGAGAGAGAGAGAAGACCTGGGGTTCTCCTGACCCCCCCCAAACCTTGCTTGAGATGATGGGACCCCCCTGTTCCTTCCCTGGAACCCTGGGATAAATCCCCTCTTTGGTAACGTGCCAGGTCGGGGTTCGAACTAGAGATGTAAAATTTCTGGAAATTTTGAAGCTCGGGAAAAGACCCGTTTTTTCCCCAGTTTTTTTCGGGGGGAAATGGAAATTTTCGGAAAAATTGAAAAAAATGCTACATTAGCACTTCTTTTGTCTTTTCTAGATTGAAAGTCATTCTGTTACTTTAGGAACATAAAATATGACTATGGACATTTTTACTTGGCATGAAATTATCACAACTAGCATATTAAAAATATAGTGTATCCAAACAGTTATTACAAACAGAATACCCGCCCACATGCAAAAACAAAACTGAAACCTTTTTCTTTTCTCGTGACAATAGCACCTCCTAAAGGAAGAAATGCATTTTGTTC